CCCCCCACCCCCCCCCCATAGGATGGCTAACAACATACAAAAAGCAAGGCACAATTAAAAAAGAACTTTCCTATTATTTTGAATAGGAAGTGTGTGTAATGGACCTAAAAAATAAATACATTTATGACAATTCCATCACTACTTCCCCTTCTTCATACACAGATCACACCACATATTTTTCCTCATTCTTCCCCTCTTTTCCTCTCCCCAAAAAAAATATTCTCTATATTCCCTTCATTTAACAGCCATGTTTAATCCAAGAAACCAAAAACCCAATGATCATATCCCAATTCTTGATCCTGTTACAACCTCAGACTACAGTTATAACCTTAGGAATTGGCCTAAAAATGATGTTGAAAGTGTCCAATTTAGAGTTCAAGAAAGTTCAAACCATGTTGATTATGGTGATGAATCTGGTGTTTCTTCACCACCCTTATGGAAAAATAGCCATCAAATTTCGACAAATTATCGGTCACATTCAAATAGCTCTAGAGCTTTAGCTATAGCTAGAGGCCAATTTGAACTTATGGAAATGGTCAAAAACATGCCTGAATCTTGCTATGAGTTGTCTCTTAAGGATCTTGTTGAGCAAAATAGAGTCTTGGAATCTGATCAAGAAGAATGCTTAATAAATAAAGAGGAGGAAAATTTTACTAGTACAACTAGTCTAGAACAACAAAGGATGAAGAGCATACAAAGGCAAGAGAGTAATAGTAGTAAAAAGAGTAACAACAATAAGAATGATCATCAAAAGAAAGGGAAGATGATTAGAAGTGAGAGTTTTGAAAATCAAAGACTTTTTCTAAAGATGTTTTTTCCAATTTCATTGGAATCAAAGAAGAAGAATTTGAAGAATTCACCAAAAACTAGTACTAAAGTTTCACCTAAGCCAGAAGGGTCAGTAAAATCTTCAAAAAATGTGGAAAAAGATTGGTGGAAAAGGAGATTTTCTTGTTCAAGTGAGAGTGATAGTAGTAGAACAGGCAGCAGTAATAGTGAAAGTACTGATACAAGTGGTAGCAGTGGCAGCAATGGTAGCAGAAAAAGTAAATACAGGTATATTCAATTCATGAATTTCTCAATTTAATAAATTGTTGGGTTTTTTTAGCTTTTGAACTAGAGCTTAGACTTAATAAGGTTCTTGAAATTTATTTTGTTGAATAACTTAGTATCAAAAAAAAGGCGGCCCGGTGCATTAAGCTCCCGCTATGCACGGGGTCCGGGGAAGGGCCGGATCACAACGGTCTATCGTACGCAGCCTTACCCTGCATTTCTAAAAGAGGCTGTTTCCACAGCTCGAACCCGTGACCTACTGATCATATGGCAACAACTTTACTAGTTACGGCAAGGCTCGCCTTCTAAATAACTTAGTATAATATCAGTAATAAGATCACAATTTAGGGTGCTTAGAACTATGTTGCTCAGATCCTCCAAAAATGTCGACCATTGTGTATCGGATCCTCCAGAAATACTGCATTTTTCGAGGATCCGATACAGGTGCAGCCGAATTTTGAGGATCCAAATTAGCTTTAGAATCTCTCTCTTGATGATCAATGTATGAATCTTTTTATCTTCTCGCCGTGGAAACAGCCTCTTGCAGAAATGCAGGGTAAGGTTGTATATAATAGACCCTTATGGTCCGGCCCTTCCCCGCACTCCCCACATAGCGGGAGCTTAGTGCATCGCGCTGCCTTTTTTTTTTTTTTT